CACCCACCAGATGATAAAGAATAACGCTAGCACGAAAATATAAAGGTAGGCCCAATACTTTCCGGACAGACCTCGTACATTCCTTTAACTACTAGAATATAAAATCCAATGTATTACAACGTTTCAAAGCAAGGCGTTAAACGATATTGACTTTTTTCGTGATTTTCAACTTTTTTTCGAATAATAAGTTAGTAAATTAGTAGCGCCTCAAATTATTGTTAAAGACAATAAGGCCCCCTACCTCGTTCTGGTCGAAGAAAATTGAACGAATGAATCCTGGTTTTCGCCTGTTTGCGCATTTTCACTCTCTCTCTCCCTTACGGATTCGCGCCCAGCGCATAGTCTCCTACGATAAAGCAAGGCCACTAACCGATGCTCTCGACAGTGGCAAAGAACAATAACGAGCGACTCTTGTGACAGCTAATAACAAATTTGCATTTTTACTATCGTGCACGTTTATCCTTCTTAAGCATACATTCCATGTTTATTAATGAAATTATGTGGTTATGTGATGTCGGCATGTATAGATTTGTTGCTTCTATACCATAGAATATTATTTACGAGGTTTTATAATGATTTAGTTTACGCACCAATAACGATAAGGTGTAATAGTAATAAATTTTAAAAATTCAAAAAAGTAGTCATGACACTTTCATGCCTTATAACTTTTTTCTTATTGAGATCACACGTTTCTAATGTGTCTTATTTGATTACGTTTATCTAATGTTGGAAATTCATCATCCATATAAACATTGCCAAAAGATGCACCAAATTTTACAGAAAAAAATTTTCTTTAATAAAAAAGACACGCGTCGTTGTCTGCAAAATTTCTTATTTTAATTATGTATCGTATGTATTTACGAGGTGTGTTTAAAAAGTAAGGTGACTTTTCAAATTTCACGGGCAACGTACTTTCGATTATCGATTTTTTTATTTTGTTATCATGGTGCACTCTTCCCGAACATCTGTACCAAGTTTCAAGTGTATAACATTTTTTGTTTGGTTGTGAGAGGCGTAAAGGTTATAAGTGTTTTGCGTGCTCGGCGATTTCTTGCTATCGAAAAATATGGATCAAAGGATTTGCATCAAATTTTGTGTAAAAAATAAAATAAAGTGCTCCGAAACACTTGAAATGTTGACGGTGGCATACGGTGAAACTGTTCTGAGTAAAAAAAATGTTTACAAGTGGTACAAACTCTTCCAAGATGTCCGGAAAGATGCCAATGACGAGCCTCGCTCTGGACGCCCAAGCACGCCAACAACTGATGAAAACGTTCAAGCAGTGAAGAAAATTGTTCTGGAAAATCGTCGAATCACTATCAGAGAAGTTGCTGAGGATGTTGGTATATCGCTTGGCTCGTGCCATGAAATTTTTTCTAACGTTTTGGGCATGAGACTGTAACGTTTGAGTGTATCTCGCGTTATTAAAATTCTAATTCGGACTCTTTACATTAAATTCGCAATAACGTCTCCGAGAAAAGCAAGAAGTTGACACGCGCGCAATCTAAATAATCAAAAGAAAATCTTTCGAGTGGCAAACCACGAGGCTTGCCAACTCGATGAGCTGCTTCGAAGTGCAATTGATAACAATCGCATCTATCGGGGAGAGGCCCGACAGCGCCGCGATTACTACTCAATTTGACTTCTCAACAATAGATATGTTTCAGGAGGGAAGATCTCTAAGGCTGCTTTTTTCTCATGAGAGAAATAGTCTCATGAGTTGAGCTCTTAGAGATCAGTAGGAAAGGAGTTCAACAGGCTAACCACTGAAAAAAAATTCGTCTCAGGAAATAGCTGAGGCTTTATTTCCACACAGTGCTCGCGCTGCTAAGCAAGGTAGGAAAGTGAGTCCTTTTGCCGCAGCGACGAGCGAATTTATACATGCGAAATGGGCTCCTTTCTACGCTTGGTAGCCCCTACAACGCTATTTTTGTCTTTGACGCAAATTTCGTACACGTTTTATCGCAAAATGGCTCGATCGAAATTACAATTATGCGATTTAAAAAATTAAACTGGAAAAGATGAATTTTTTAACATAAATTGCATCTCTAGGAAAAATCGCCTCTTAAAGTTATAAGCTATACAATTTAATAATCAAATTACGCCATTTTTACAATAAAATTATGGAAAATTTGTACATGGAAAAATCGCTTGTGGTTAGAAGATTGTTATCCATATAAAAGATGATTAATGTTGCTCTCTAATTTTGAATAATAATTAAAAAACCGATTTGCAATTTTCTTTTTTAGCGGTTTAAAAATCAGCAAATTAGTAACATCATCAATTTTACGGATACTTATGATCGATTTGCTATCTAACCGTGTTATTTTAATTGTTTAAAAAAATTATAAATTGTTTATTTATTGATAACTTAATGACTAATTAGTTATCAAAGTGTCAAATTCTTGCTTTTCTGTTTCAATACGTCGAGATTGTAATCGTATGCTCGAAATAACAATATCATTGTTTATTGCAAAATAACTAACAATGTTAACTTGTAGATTAGATTTGACTAACAAATATCGATTTGAGAGTTATATCAACATGAAATTCAGAATCAGCGCATCAAATTTAACTAAGAAATACTTTTGTTCGTTTAAAAAACTTTATAATTAACGATTTTCTGTTGTAAACAATAAATTTTCCCACGGCCGTGATGTCACGCTCCTTATATGGTAATGTTTTCGCAGAGTTGCCCTAACACATTTGCATATACGTGTGAAAAGCGCCTACGCTCAATTACCGATTTTCTCTAATTGTCTCGTGTGGGTCGGCTTGCCGTTTTGCAGAGGAAAATAGGAGACAAATCAGACAGGACCGTTACAAGACGTGTGTCAGCGAAGTTTGTTCTGAAATTGCTAAATTTTGACCAAAAGAACCGTCGCATGAGCATCGCTCAAGAACTGTTGAATGACGTCAACGACGACCCAGATTTACTCAAAAGGGTCATAACTGGTGACGAATCATGGGTATATGGTTATGATATCGAAACCAAAGTCCAATAGTCCCAATGGAAGAGCCCAGATGAGCCAAGACCGAAAAAAGCACGCCAAGTTCGATCAAATGTCAAAGTTTTGCTCACTGTTTTCTTCGATTTCCATGGCGTGGTGCATCAGGAGTTCTTACCATATGGACGTACGGTCAATAAACAGTATTATCTTGAAGTTGTGCGCCGTTTGCGAGAAGCAATACGAAGAAAAAACTCCCAGAATTGTGGAAAAACAATTCATGGCTTTTGCATCACGATAATGCCCCTGCTGACTCATCTTTGCTTGTGAGAGATTTTTTGGCTAAAAACAACACCTCAGCCACCATATTCACCGGATTTGGCCCCATGTGACTTTTTCTTGTTTCCAAAACTAAAGAGACCTATGAATGGACGGAGATTTGCAACGATTGAAGAGATAAAGACTGCATCGCTGGAAGAGCTCAAGGCTATACCGAAAAGTGCTTATGAGAAGTGCTTTGAAGATTGGAAAAACCGTTGGCATAAGTGTATTATATCTTAGGGGGGTTACTTTGAAGGGGACAACACAAATATTGACAAATAAATAAATATTTTTTTTTTAAAATACAAAGTCACCTTACTTTTTGAATACACCTCGTATATCTTGCAACGGTAGTCGATTCAATTAATCGAACCGTTCGCGATTCTGATTTTCGCGCGTTAGTTCTAAGTATTGAGAGAGAGGGGGGGCGCGCGATCTTTTAAATGAGCAGTTACGCTTCAGCTGTATTCGAACGAGCATCGCCGATTTTTATTTGCACAGTTTTTCTCGCCGAGTGATAGTTTTCCTGGGACAATTTCGTGCGTGAGTGTAATAGCGATATTATAGCAAGTACGAGGATTCGGAAGCAGTTTGCAGTTGATAAGCAGAGTGAGGCAGCGCAGCCAATTGTTCAAAGGACAGGGGCAGTTGATATTTTGCTGACATCAACAGTTACGGCTGATCACCGTAATTGCACCGCAGGGTAGGTGCACCTCCCTTAATTATCGCATGACAAAATACATTTAGTATTTTGTTCAACCGTGTTAGCGTTGATATTTTTTGTATTTGCGCCGAGCTTTAGATCGCGCCAATTTTCGTATCTTCTCTCTCTCTCTTTCTCACCGAAAGTTATTTAATTGTAAATCCTATTCGCGTGCGTCAGTCTTTCGGCCCAATAAAGACTGTAGAGATTTTTATTAATAAAATCTATTAAACTTATTCGCCGATTTCGTCATATGATTTTTCCTAGTAGTTTAAACAATTAGAAAAAGCTTAGGTTTTAATCCTGTTATAGCTATGGGATTAAGTGGATTTGGAGTAAAGTCGCTTACACTTGAAACTCATCGTGTGTCACAAGGCACGTGACTTAAGGTGAGTTCAACTCTGCTTGATCGAAGACAACTAGGTTAAGTCAGCTGACGTTAAGGCGAATACACGTATTAACATACGTGTTAACGGAGCGGCGGTTTGCTCTGCATCGTGGGAGTTTGTTCTTAAATAAATTTCTCATTTTTGCAGATTTATCCCCCCGTTACAATCTTTAATATATATATTATAATACTTATTTTTGTGTTTAAATATTGTAAATAATGTATTTAATCTAACTGTTGTATGACAAACGAACAAAAATATTGTAATAGCAAAAAATTATAGCTTCATACAATATTTCAAATTAATTAAGAATTGTCCATATACTGCTAATTTAAGGTGTATTTCCAGTAAAGTTACTACTGAAAAAAAATCATTATATTTCTACTAAATTATAGTTTATTATTATATATCTACTAAATATTCTGTAATAGGATATATTACAGATTATTATATTAATACGATTATATTTCTACTAAAATATTCTGTAATAGGATATAAAAAATAACTGGCGATTCTTGAAACTGACTATTTATTTTACGAATTTTTTCTTTTAATATTACGAATTTTTATGTAATCAAATAAATTTCCAATATACATAAATATTCACGTTTTTTCAACAAATCTTCATTCCAATTCTAGGATTAGAACAATATTCATCAAAACAACTATTAGAATTTTTAAGCGAAATGGATTCCTTAATATCTGCTTTGAGTGAAAGTTTAATAAACGAGTTAGCTTTGAGGGATGAACTTGAATACGAAAAAGAATTGAAAAATCAATTTATATCATTGCTACTTGCAGTTCAAAATCGTCGGAGGCAGCATCATGTTGCAAAAAAACGGAATCAATCACAGACTGGAAGTAGCCCATTGCCACAACAAAAATCATTTCATGAATCGAAGGTAATATATATGTATATATATATATATATATTTATATCGCTATATACATAAACGTAACATCGTTAATGCACCTTCCCGGCTCTGCCACATTTTAAGGCTATTTTAATGATATTTTGAAAGTCTCCTCCACGACTCCTTAATGTACCTCCCATTTTTTTTTAAATCTAATTATTTCTATAAATTGGTGAAAATAATAATTATCACAAGAACTTTGCAACACAGGCTATAAAATTTATTGATTTCTTTATATTGACATAAAATAATGACACATTTTGTTTCCTAGAAATGTAAGTGACCATTGTAGCAGTACAATATTGATAAGAATAGTAATTATACAGACCAATAATTTTCAGATAAAGAGGTTCGACCTAAAGTGTCTAAAGAAATTTAATAAGCTCAATTCAAATATTGGTTCAGAATTACTTCATCACCTTAGCTTTTTGAAATATCCTAATCTAGAGGTACGAAAAACATTGGTTTTGCTGTTTTGGAGCTTTTCTCATATCGCGAACTTTTATTTAATTTTTTTTTAATCTGAATAAATCATTAGAAAAAGCAAATCTCCTACTTTAAAAAAATTATTAATTTTTTTGGAAATAGATTATTGCAAGCTGAGATATTACAATTTGAAATAGAGAAAATTTGAGTTTTCAATAGACCGTAATGCATGTGGAAAATGTTTCCAGGTGTGTAATTATGGATTATATTACTTCGTTTTCAACCAGTGAATCATATTTTTACATGGAATCTTCTCAAACACCACTTAACGTCGTAATTGAAAATTCAAAATGTCGTATATGAACAGCGTTAAGATATGCACGACTAATTTAACAGCATCAACTCCACAACAGCTCTACTTTTCAAAAACAGAACCAAAATACCCATCAGCTCACGAATGGTTAACCTTGAATATTATATTCCAAAAATCGTAGGCTCTATAGATCCGAAACCTACGACTGGTTGATATCAACCCGACCCAAGAACTCCGGGAAACTGATAGTATCGACAGGATGACCTTTAACGTTAAATTTCCTAAGATACCTAGACGCCTCAAACCCACGACATATGTACCTCAAACCTCGAGATTCCTCTTTATATCCTATACTAGCTTACCTTCACAATAAGTATCCTTTTTAATAAATCAGTAGCCTACATCATTAATATTTTCCCTTGTGTAATCGTTGTTGTTTTGTTTCAAACGATCTTTTGTAAAGATTTACATTTATGACTCATTGATTCATTATCTTCTCTTTTTAATGACCAACAATAGTCTATTATTATTGCTTCATCACATTTAACTTGATAATGTTGTTTTTTGTAATGGAAGGCCTGGTGACACTGTCAATCTATAACTTCGCTAAAAGCTCGAACATTTTCAGGGAAATAATCTAAATAAAATTTGAGGAAATTCAACTTGAGTCTTAACAGACAGTTCAGTCGTGCAACGTTTTTCAATATAGTTGCCATTATATTTTTAAACTTAGGATCTTGGTTATTTTTTCAAAAATGTATCCATTATTTATTTGAAGTTTCTCGAAGCGGCTTTTTCTATTAGAGTCATAGATTTTCGAACTCAACATCATTTATGAGTTTTCTTATATCCAGTCTAACAAAACTATGTTCTTTTATTTTGATATTTAACTGTTGTTCATTTGATTAAGTAAAGAAATTATTAAAAAAAAATGTCAGTTACAAAAGAAATTTTGAAAAAAAATTTAATTAAAAAGAAAGTTAAGAAAGAAAAATCTGCAAATACAAAGAGCAGCAACAAGAAAGCGAAAAAAAAATTTAATATTAAATTTATAAATTAAACTATGAGCATGTATCACTTTGCTTGCGAATATTAAAAAATTTGCTATAATTATTAAATTATTATTTGATGTTATTATTATAAATGATAAAAAAATTATAAAGTGTTATATATTTTATAAAATAAAGATATCTTATCAATAATATCACTCAAATACTTGAGTGGTTTCTTTATTAGATTTAAAAACTAAATTAAATAAAAAACAATTAAATACTCTGAAACATATACGAATATTATGATTGTAAACGATATAACTTATTGAAACATGTGCATTTCCTAGCAATATTTCTTCAGAATGTCTCAGTTGCCTTCGACCGGTCAATCGCGTGGTGAATCGTATCTGTGTACGCGTCATGCTCTCGTAAAAAAATTACCATGGCTCGTAAATAATAACAGATAATTAGCTAGAATTTTCAACAAAATTTCTGGATAGCACAACAAACATTTTGGTATAATTGAAAACTAGAAATTTAAACTTTCCTCGCATAACATTTTAAATTAAATATTTAAAAAGGAATTTATGAACAAATTTTCCCACAAATTTGTCATTTTGTTTGTATTTATTATTAAAAATCGTACGTCAGCTTAGCAAACGCACAATACATCAAAGGTTCTCATAACGCGAAATATTCTATGAGTCGAGCGTATATCATAATAGGAAAGGGAAGGATTGCTTAGCTAATCAACAGAGAGAAACAACGTAGGTATAAGTTTATTTAATCTCGAGCGCTCACTTTGGAAAGCTAGGAGAGAATACCAGCCTGTCCAAAATTCTGCCTATTGGTACACAAATTTTCTCGTCTATTTTCGCAGGACAGCCTTCTTCATGCTGTTTACGCAAGTGTGCAAAGTCATTTTCTCTTATTTACAATAGAATAGACAGCGCCAAAGAAAATTTAAATCGTGTAAAAAATACAGAAATTGATATAGATAATTGACACTTATCCCAATCGGAATTAAGTTATTAACTAACGAAGTTAATTCATACAATAGCGCAAAATTTACAATAAAATAATAAAAAATTTTTACATATAAAAATAGTTTATCGCCTGTAGCTATAATTCCAAAAAAGAACTACTTAAATTAGTTAATAATATTTGAATAATAATCAATTTTCGTATTGTCGCAAAATCTTATAATGTAAATATAAAATCGGTTAATTAAAATTGATAAATTATAACAATGTTGTTATTATATACAGTGTAACCGAGGGGTTATCTAACAAATTGAAAAATTCATTTAAGCGCAAACTCCCACGATGCAGAGCTAACCGTCACTCCGTTAAACACGTATAGTTGTACGTGTATCCGCCTTTACGTCAGATGATTTCGTTTCGGTGTCTTCTTTCTAGCTGAGTTGAAGTCACTTGACTTGTGACACTCGATATATCTTAGGTGTGAGTGACTTTATGCCTAATCCGCTTAATCCTCCAGATGAAATCGGATTAAAACCTAAGCCTTTATAAATCGCTTAAGCTAATAGGAAATGAAATGACGTAATCGGCGAATAAAATTAACTAACTTTAATTAATAAAAATTACAGTCTTTTATGGGCCGAAAGACTAACGCACGCGAATAAGATTTACAATGAATTATTATTATTCGGTGAGAGAGAGAGAGAGAGAGAGAGAGAGAGAGAGGAGATTCGAACATTACCGCGAAACTAACGCTCGGCGCGAATACAAAAAATTCGATATTGCGGTTGACAAGATACCTTCGAATGTATTTTGTTACGCAATAATAATGGGAGGTGCACCTACCCTGCGGTGCAATTACGGTGATCAACCGTAATTGTTGATAAAGAAAATCAACTGCCGATGCTCCTTTAATTAATCAACTGCGCTACCTCGCTCTCCTATCAGCTACAATTTGCTGCTTCTGCACTGTTGCTGCATTTTGCCGCGGTAATGCCGTTGCACTCACGCACGTAAAATTATCCCAAAAAAACTTTATAATCGTTTATTAATCGTTCGAACTAACGCGCCAGTAACAGAATCGCGAACCCATCGATTAATTGAATCGACTACCGTTGCAACAGATCTAACGCTTTCGATTCATATTCTCTTATTTGTTTAAATAAATAATTAATTGTTTATTTATTCATAACAGTAATAACTAAGTTGTTATCAATGAAACGAATTCTTACTCATGTTTCTAAGATAGTAATCTTGAGTTCAGAATATCCACTTGATTATAATAATTAACATTTACAAAGTTATAAACAAATTAAGTTCGCACATTAAAATTCAATACTATTCAATAGTAAAAAGTACTTGAAAATATTATAATCTTAATGTGTGCCCTAAAATCTATATAAAAAATACTTTATTTCATCATCATATCTATATCTATTAGTAGAGTGACGTCACGCTCCTTATATGGTCATGAAATTTGAGTCTAGCACTTATATAATCATATAATATAAGAAAGAGGTGGCGCCGTTTAATATACTAATTGATATATGTAGATTCATGAGTTTAGTGGGTTGCAGTAATATAGTGAAAATAAGAGAAGAGCTCATAGATAATACCGTTACATCTAGAAAAACGATGCGCAATTTCATCTTTTATGTAACCATATTTTTGAAATTAAGTTTTGAATAAGTTAATAATTTACTCGATTGGATAATACTTATCCCCTTTCTGTTGCAGGACCTTTAATTATAAAATTGAAGATTAAACTATTAAAAGGCGAAGTTAAAATCTAGTAGATAGAACTTGGCATGTACATATTCCTTTAGAAATTTTTAATAAGAATGCAAAGCAATTTGGTTTCTTTTCGATTGCTTTATTGATTGATAAATGCATGATAAAATTTTATGAAATGACAATACTAAAGCAGTTTAAGATAAGTCAATTTGTTTTGGCTTGAAGCTATAGGCTTTATGTAATGAAGAAGGCTACATTTATAATTGTGATCTTTATTGTGAGAAAGGATCTAACATTCACTCTTCAGAAAAGTTAAGAAATATAAATAAGCTCTATTTGTATTGCTGTGACGGGACCCTGGCTGGGATGGCCGGCCCTGTCTGGCTCTCTCTCTCTCTCTCTCTCGCAGCCTCGCTCCTTCGCTGTTGCCCTGGCGAGCGTTTGAAATTACGAACCGATACTGATGCTCATACCGCTTTATTTCAGGTCCAATATCTGAGCCGGGCATCGTCATTAGGAGCCAAAAATCCGCCGCGTGTGCCT